GCTGCATATCATCAGCATACTGATGATACCTCACCCCATGATGACGGATGATCTCACCCAGTGGTTTCATGTAGATGTTGAAAAGGAGCAGAGGGAGAACCAAACCCTGCGGCACCCCACAAAGGAGGGGCTGAGAATGGGACCTCTCACTCCCTATCACCACCAATTGGGATCGGCCCCGGAGAAAGGAGGCGAACCAGCACAAGACTGTGCCACCCACCCCCAATTCCCTGAGCTGTCCCAACAGGATACCGTGGTCGACGGTATCGAAAGCCGCTGAGAGATCAAGGAGAGCAAGGATGGTCACACTTCCACCATCCCGCTCCCGCCAGAGGTCATCCATAAGTGCAACCAATGCAGTTTCCATTCCATATCCGGGCCTAAGATTGTTCTTTGCTGACAGATAAAATACTAATGGAATAGTGCATTTACTGATTTCTGTAAAATTTTCACATCAATTTTCTTGCCTTTTTACATATAACTTAACAGGAAATAAAGTCTTTGTAGTTTATTAAATACAATTTTCTTGAGAACAATATATGAAAATTTCAGATGAAAGTGTCAGCCTTCCTGAACAGAATTCAGCAGAAAATGGAGATCTCCTGGCATTTGATGGTTCAGTTTGTTGCCTTGGTATGACTTGACGGAAGAGTTAAAGACACAGCTCAGCTTGTTCAGAATCTTTATTGCAGACAAAATGAAGCCATACAAAACAGTTGTTTGCTAATGAGGTGATGCAAATGATTTTTATATCCTTAGGGATTTAAATATCTGGCTTCTTCCTTTCACCATTCAAATTAATAGATAATTGATATGGTTTTGGGGGGCCTTAAAGCAGAATTGCTGTATATTTACATAATGCCCTTTCCTACCTGGGTGCCACTGGTTCCTGCCTCACTCGTCACACAAAGAATTATTGGATTGCTTGATTTGCTCAAGTGTGAACCATTGGCTGTCAGACTTTAACTGAAAAGAGGGAAATGGCAATGAACCAGTCTGTGCGTTTTGTTGCACCCACAAAGACTTTTTATACTGGCGTGAATTTGAGTATTTACATAGCCAACAGTCATTCAGCATTTTGCATACAGGAAAGCTGCTTATTAAGCAGGACGTGTTTCATATTCCATTTCATTTTTGAACTGTGGGTATTGTTTCAGGTGTTGCTCCTAAAGATTTCTTGTATTTTTGTCAAAATAAGAGGGCTCTTCTTAAATTTCAGTGTTTTATTTTGGCACTCAGCCATTAAGTATGCTGTTACAATGAGGATCTTTCTCACTTCATGATTCACAAAATATGATGATTTGCATATGTAAATAAGCTATCTGATGGGAGCTGTACTTTTCTTTCATCCTATGTGAAAAGAATGGGAGGATATCTTAGACTGCAAATGTTTTATCTTAAATATATTATAGCCAATAATTTTTTGTGAGTTTCTTCATGAATGATAATAATAAAGAAACCAGCCAACACTTCAAGCATCTAGTTGGCTGCTAATAACCCTCCAGCTGCATTTCTTCTTTCAGTTGACCAAATAAGGCATCAATGTAACTACTAAAGATATAGAATGTAAAGAATATATGTGATTTTAATGAGAAGTAAAAGAATATTAAACATCTGTATTAAGTATTTCTACCCAGTCTGACATTTGTACAAATGTAATTTATTCAGGAAAAAAATATAGTAATATAGCTAAGCAATTGTGACCAGCAATTGTCTACTCTTAATTGTAATATTCTTCAAAGTTCTTTCTCAAAGCTATTTTTTTCCCAAATTCCCACACTTTTAAGTTCCACTGATACAAAGTAAGATGAACATTAATTTTCCAGTGTTTTGCAACAATAACCTATGTTTAAATTGATTAAATCAATTTCTTCTGCTGTATCACTGTATATGTTTTAGGAGAAACGGGCAGTTAACCAATAGCAGGATTCATTGTCAGTTATTTAGGTAATTTTCCCAATTTCTTCAATTATTTAAAGAAAAGTTTCTTGGGAATTACACTATAACAGGAATTGAAACAAACAAACAAAAAGTAAAAAATTGTGACCTCTTATTTAAGGCAAGATTACCTCATCCCCACTCCCCCTCCATCCAAATCTAATAATTTTCTCTCTAGGAGAGAAGCATTCAGCTGTTCCAGTGTGCCCCAAAGCTGGTTTGAATATGTCAGTCTTCTAATACTTTAGATGGAACATTTGTTTCAATATGGTTCACATCAAATATGATGGAAAGGATCTAGGGTTTCTGAGCAGCTTTCCATTTTTGCACCATTCTGTTCACCTTGCAGTCTCTCATTCACAAAATAATTCCTTCAGAAGATTAAGATGCCCTCTTGAAGTGTGGAAAACAGGATGGATAACTGTTGAAAAAATGTCCACTATCAAAAAATGCATATTCATCCATGTATATTTGTGGAGGTTCCAGTTAAACCAAGCCTGTTCCATACGCAATTCATTTGTTTTGTCTGCTGAAGAACACAGGAAAATTTAAATGCTGTTTTGGTCTTTACTAGCTTTTGACTTAGATATTTATTTTTAACCTATAAAAACATTGATATGTAATTCCATCTATTATATCATCAAGGTGGTATACAGCTAATCAGGGAAACCACCAGGAAATTCCAAGACTGTAGGCTAGATTGGGAAAAAAAAAAGTCCCAGAAGAATACAGTATTTCTATATTATTGCAAAGAAAACAAAAGAGGTGTCTATGAAGTCACCAGGAGTCAGGTTCATTAAAAAGAGACTCTTTATTTAGCCCGTTCTACTAAATTCAGTATCTTTCCTTTTAAAAAAAAAATGCAATCTTTGTAGTTAAAAGTATTTTTGTGAGTTTAAAAAGTAAATAGTCTAAATTCATGCAGCTTGATACCATATAAAATTTAAGATTTTCAACACTAATTTCTTTAAATGTTATGATGCATCTATTAGGATTCATTATTTAGGCATCTCATAATTTCACACCAGTGCTGAAATTTACAAGATCGCTTCTCACCTTGTCACACACTACAGAAGAATAACACCATCCTAATATGGAATTTTGCCTTGATATCAAATAGTTTCACAGATGCTTCCCCCAGCTTTGAGACAAGAGGCAGCTGCTATAGCATATATTATATATAAAGAACATCTAGTAACTAAAGTCACACATTATCAATCAGTAGAGCAGGAAAATTAAACCAAATGATCCAGCAAAGCACTAGAGCTGGGTACAGAAGGTGAATCCACTAAAAGAATCTCTCCCATGATTTACTCATTGAGCATTGTCCCTGCTACTGGTAACTATCTAAATTCTGATCACACAGAAGTATCCTTTTTGGGATGCGGTATCATCATCTGGTCTGTCTGCTTGGACTCCCTGATCAGTCCAGATGGAATGTAACTGAGAGAGAAAAGAGTGAAGCAAAAAACAGAGCCAGGTCTGTCTGTCTTCTGTCACTTTAGCCTGGATTGTAAGAATTGCATTTGTAGTTCTCCTTATGCAACAGGTGTTTTCAGTTATATCTTTTTTGCTCTAGGGCCCTGGGGCCCCTAAAAGCCATTCTTTGTGTTGGCTTATGTTCTAATGTTGCGTAGCATGCAGATTGGTACAGTAGAGTGAATTGAAATATAATACCATGGACAGTAATCTAAAGTATTTCCATTAAACATGAAGCTATTGGAATTGAAATCAGTTACCTATTTTCTCTTCATTGCCTGTCAAAGGAATATGATAAATTGTGATTTTGAATTGCTTATATTTTTCAGAACATTTCAAAGTGTTTTTGATAACTTGTCTTCAGATATTTTGGAGCAAGCTGTTTACCAACCATTGCACTGGTTATCTGGCATATCAAAGTTTTCCTCTTCTTTGCTAAAGTAAGTATCTTCATAATATAGACAAGACTCTAGAATCCATTTCTGTGTTCCATACTATTGCTTTTACTGATAAATTGAAATAAATATACCACTTTGAAACATTTTATTAAAATATCTATTTCATTGTCTATTTTCTTTAAAAACTTGTTCTTGCTTTACAAATTTTACACAACAATTATTTTTATATTTATTTTTTGTACTCAATTTAACTTACGTACATAGATTTAACTTTGAAAAAGTAGCAACCTTGGGAATTGATGAAACTACTCAAGTTTACGTTTATTGCTTTTGTTCATATTTGGTATTTTTAGAAAATGGCATGTTTAGAAGCAAATGCATAATTTTCTTGCTGTTTCAGTAAGTGTAATAACAATTTACATATGAGACATATGCTACCAGCTGTACTGCCATTTCTTTTCTAACTTTGGATCAGAATCCTCCCACATCCATTTCAAAACCTGTTGAGGCTTCTCACAGTATTTTGTGTCCCTCCCTAGTAATCTTTGATTTCTAATTGAATGCTAGATTTTTTCATGATTTTTATGAAAGAAAAAAGATGTTTAGTTTCCATTATTCAATTTCTCTAGCTCTGATGTTTAGTTTCTTCTCTCCTGCTTTGTAGAATCACATTGCTCTGAAAGAAAATCTCAGTAATGACATTACATAGTTTAATAATGCCCAATTTGAAATTAGGTAATTCTACTTCAGGGTACCTATAAATCTAATATACAGTTTACCACCTATTGAAAACAAACATGTTTTAAAACAGAATTACATTGGTATTATCAAAGTGTGAATAATTAAATTATTGTGACACAAGAAACACAAATAGACATGTTAACATATTTATTTTAATATATTATTATAACCATATTAAATAATAAATGCATAGATAGATAGATGATAGATAGATAGATAGATAGATAGATAGATAGATAGATAGATAGATAGATAGATAGAAATATTTAGCATATATAACTTTTTCTTCCAGTATACTTCATCACTTGAAATGCAATACTTGATTAAATAGAGATTATAAGCAATAAAAACTTTCCCATTTAACTTGTTCTTTCCTTTTCTCTTTCATTGTCCTTAAGAAAACATTTGCTTTTATTTCCAGAGGTTTACTTTCCAGATTTCTCTTCAAGCTCCCTCAACATTTCAGCATGCATGGAGGGAAGGGAGGGAAAGCCTGCTCAACAAAACGCCTTCTCTGCATAACTGGCTGTCATACAGTGTTAGGTTTTTGCATTTGTATTTGTTTATTGCATAGTTTATTTCTAAACTGCATTTTTATATCCAATGAACAGTCCTCCATCCATTACATTCTTTGACAAATTTGTGAAATGGATTGAGAATGACTAGGGCAAAGTCACTCAGTAAGAAACATGACTTTATTAATATTTGAACTTGGTTCTTCCCAATCTTTATCTTTCTAATTGCTGCGCTGACTTTTATTGGCAAACACTGCATTTAACTATGCTTTAGAGTGCATCTTACTGCTTTTTCTATCAATAGCCAGTCTTTTTGAAGGATACCAATATATAAACTCACTTTCACTTTATAGCTTTTTGTCATTTCTTATGTACTATGTATATAATACACCCACACACACATACACACACACATACACAATTATATTTATATAATCAATTAAACTTTGAAATAATATGTCAGTTTAATAACGCTTCATGCAAGTGTCAAAATGTATTGTAGGACACTGAAGTAGCCCTTCAGCTATTGAGGAACTATACTTTCCAGAGGTCCCAAACAACATTGGTAATGATGAGAATATACAGATTACCACAGATTCTTCATCTTTGTTACAATACTTAGTAATTATTGAGGATGATTGGTTTATTTTAAATGTTTCATGCTGAATTTCAACCATCAATAACTGGGCTATTATAACTGAGGTCCTTATTTAAAAATTGCCTTTGCTGGTCATTTCTAAATTTTCTCAGTGTAGCTCAATGGTACCGCATAAAATCATCTATATCATTGTGTAAAGAGTGTATAGAAGGTGTTGATGCTGCTAGAAGTCTTTGTATGTGTATTCTATGAGTCTTCAACTGCAACAATGTTTTATTCAGATGGATGTAAACCATAACTTTCCTCACTACAGAATTGTTTATACATGTCATATTTTATATGTAGTTCATCTGTTGCCGTATGTGGCTAGCCTTGTATTCATGGCTATATAAGCTTCGAAGATGAAGGAACATATGCCTCTCCATATGACCAGTGAAAAACTTTTCAGTGTTTTTACTAGTATTAACACAGTGACTGAACATTTCAATTTGCACTGTGCTTTAAGAGTCTAGAGCAATTGGTAAATACTGAAAGATAACAACACCCCATCTGGTTAGATATAAAAAAAAGTTTGTATGAGTTCCACATTATAAAAACCTTGCTCTTTTCACATTAATAAATTTAAGATAAAATTGCTGCTTAATTATTTTATGATATATATTGAATTATAAATAGGAATTTAGGCATTGTTGTAACAGTTAAGAGTTATTCGTTTTCTTGATACTAAATAAATGTATGAAAAAAGTTTATATATTGTGATATACAGCAGAAGAATAAACTGTCTAATAAATAGCCTTTGTATTGAATATATTTTGCTAATGTGCAGTATAGAATACAGTGCTAGAATAATTGAATGTTTAAATGTAAGGCATGCTAAAAGGCTACAGTTAATAGTTTGGAATTATGTAGCACAATTTATTTCTAACCAAGAAGTTAAAATCTTAAAACAAAGCTAAAAAAGCTTGATTTAAAATTGTAATCAACCATTGTATATTTTTCTTCCTTTCTATTGTGTGCGAGAAGAACTTACACAGGAACACAATCTACTGGGAATTTCTCTTACATAAGCCTTGTTTAAACAAGTTACAACTCTTTATTAATTTGTTTTATTATAGAGAACTTCCATGTGCCTTCATCCAATATTGCAGGACATACTGTAACTGAAGATAAAATATTCCCAAATATTCTCCATGAAGCAATCTAATTTTACAGGCAGATTTGCCAAAATTGCACAGCAATTTTTACTAAACACATGTCTCTTCCTCTAGTACTGACCTTTAGTTAGAATAGATGCATACAGAGCAGTACCTCTTTGTATGACTAAATATATATTTATACTGTAATTTTGCTTTAATTATGACTTTGGACTCCACTTCAAATATTTATAGCAATAATTCTAAACAAATTTAACATTGAATTATAGTAAAATATTTCATATTTATTCAAGCATCAAAACAATGTTTGGCTTGTGAAACAAGAGAATACATAGTCCCAAGGAAGGAGGTAAGTAAGGTTACTTTGTATCTGTTATAAATTTGGCATACTACCAAATGTTAACCTACTTTTAGCTAGTTAAGATGAAATATAATTCCTTCCTTCAGCAGCCTTAGCAACCGTAAAGGATTCAGCAGTCTATGAGGAATTGATGTTTAAAGGAATTAGCATTAACCTATACTTTAAGGCTGTTGATTTCACAGATAAATTAAATATATTATTCTGTCTGTATCTTACATTTTGAAAGGATTCCATCAGCTGGAGAAATGACAGTTCAGGGTCATCTGAAGCTTCTTTTATCCCAGCCATACTGTAATTGGAACTTGCTTTTGAGAACACTGCTACATCATGATTGCCTCTTAATGAAAATGTTATTGAGAAGTTGTAGTAAGTATTGATTTTATCATGTTTCTAATAATGTAACTGTGCAAACATAAATATATTTTTCCCAGTTGCCATCCTTTAAATTATTTGAATATTAATAGAATTCTAGATGATACAATAGATGAGAAATATGGTGTTTAAGACTCATTTCAGTTTTTGCTAAAATTGTTTCAGTCTGCACATAATTTTGTTAATGTAATAATAAAGAGACCGATGTGAGATGCAGTGTAAGTTTAAGAAGAAATGAATGAATAGAATATCATACTTGAATCTAAATTCTTTAAATAGTGTACTCTTATATCTGGTTCAAACATTGTACATTTGTTGAAGCATTGTTTGATGAATAAACTGCAACTTGCAAGTTCATAGAACATGCTGACTCTTAAAAATGTTTTATAAACCACAATGGTTTGGCTTCTATTATATGTCAAAATCTATCAAACCACATTATAGCTTATTGTGATGTGCGAAACAAGCCCTAATCTGACACTGGAGTTTTTAAAATAAATGTAATCAGTTCAGTTCTGATGAGCATATTTAAAAAGTTAAAGCTGCATTTAAATCGAGTGCCAACCATTTTTTGTTTTCCTGTGAACCTACAACTCTGCTTGAGGAGAATGCCAAACTATATTAAATCATGCTTTGAAGCTGGTTTGCAAACTACAATATCTGCTAACTGTATTTGAGTTTGGGTCTTAATTCATGAAGCTTGGTCAAATCATGATTTGGGCAATTGCTTTATCCAATGAAACTGCTTTACTGTGAATTTATGAAGCTAAATGCTGAATAGATGAAAAACAAGAACAGGGTAAACTGGTTTTCCTGATGTATGTCTGGAAGCACTAAATAGTGGGCTAAATTCATTTATTTCATTTATAGGATTTATATATCCTTCAGTCTGGATAACTCTAAGCAGTGGACATTAGAGCAGCAGTACAATATAACAACATAAGAATATTAATAAAAGTAGTGCATTAAATAATTTCACATAAAACAAGTCATTCAGCACCATTGTTGGTCTCTGAAGGGCTTCTGAAACAATTAGGTCTTACAAATCTTTGGAGGGCCATAAGAATTGGGGAAACTGTTCCAAAGGAGGGAAGCTCCAATAGAAACGGCTGTATTGGGTTTCATAGATAATGAACAGTACATTGAATTTCACTTGGAAAAACACCGGCAACAGGTACAGCTCTGTACAGCAATGCTACATGGCAGTGACAAGACTGCCCCATAGCATATGGTCTGCCACATTTTGCATCAGATGAAACTTCTAGATAGTCTTCAAGGGCAGCCCCATTTAGAGGGAAAATGATAATCCAGTCTCAATCCAGGAATTTTGTCTAACACTACCGTGGATATTTTGCATGTGTTAGATTACTATGGGTAATCTAAGTTCTTTATTTTTATTAATTGATAGAGTACAATTTATTAAAGAGATAATTTGGCAAAAACAAAAATGGTTGAAATATTTTATACAGTTGTTATAAATTCATAATTTGTTTGGAACATATGGTAATTCAGTTAAAATTAATTACAACAGTTTTTGTTCTTGGTTACAGAATTTATAATTCTGTTGAGAATGATTATAATGAACAGTGTTCATTTGTTTGTCATTTTTCTGCAAAGTAGTTTTATATTAGCTAATCTAGTTCTGGGCTACAGTTCTGTTATTTAACTTGAAAGCAGTACTTGAGAGAAGTGAGGCTGTCTGTCTGTCATGTTTCTTATAAATTGTTGCAAAGTACTGATTTACTTGTTCAAATGCATGTTATCTGCAAAAACTAAAAAAATGTTTGTGAAGATCGTATTGTTATCCTGTACTGAATTTTATTAGCCTGTTTAACACTAGGATGAAAGGACAGAATTTAGATTCACTGTTTTTCTTAGCTTCAGACAAATGTATGTTTCTTAAAATCTTAAGCTGTAAAGAAGTATTTTTCCAGCAGTGTATGTGGTATTTGTTTTATAATTTATTTATACATAAATAAATTTCTGAATTTTATAAGAAGGAAAAAATAGTCCAGGGATTGGCATACATTTCAGAAGCTGTGCTATAATGCAATTTTGGATGGTATGACCCCCCCATCTTTTAAAAAATGGCTAAAATTTCATGAGATTGCCAAATCTTCCAAGATTATCAGCACTTTCAAACCAAAATCTGTTATTTGGTCATCCTGCAAGATTCTGGATTTTTTTTTTTTTATAAACATTTTGGAGGTCCTGTGGATGCCATATAGGGTGATGCAGAATCTGTGTGTTGCTGATTCCAGTATAGATCCTAGGGCACCAGAAGTATTTTCCTTCAAGAAAAGGATTGAACTGTTATTTTTTTTCAAAAATCAGTTTTGCAATTAATTACATTTATAATCTGCCTTGGAAACTCAGGGTCTCTACATGCTTTCCCATCCAGATGATGGCCAGAACCAGCATGCATTTCCAGGGTATATTCAGAAGAAATTAGAAAAATATCCAGTGTGGAGTCCTCCAGTATGTACTTTTCACATCCAGTTTGCTTTTGTTGTGAAGAATATGTTGTTCTTATTGTCTCACAACATCATACATATGGGTGATGCAAGGGTGTTAAGCTGCTTCAGTCTAGTTCAGTGTAGCTAATTCAGTCCAGTTCACACAAGTTGAGTTTAATGTTTTTCTAAGTTAGGTCTTATCTTTTGTGAAGATAAGACCTAACTTTTATTCAATTTTGTACTAAATTGAATAAAACAGTAATTTTTACAATTATTGTAAAACTTACAACTGAAGATGGGGGTGAGGTGGAGTAGGCCACCAAGAATATTAATGGCAGTAGCAGGATGACACTGGGAAGATCAGGGATAGGCTCATGGAAAGACACTGGGAAGTGTCAAGCCTCACATAGCTGGAAAAGATCAAGGAAGCAAATACTATAGATTTCAGTAATTTATCTTTAATGCTGGGAACCAGTTTAGTGTAGTGGCTAGAGGTACCAGGCCAGAAACCATGAGACTACAAGGCTAGTCCTGCCTTGAGCATGAATCCAGCTGTGTGACTTTGGGCCATTCACACTTCACTTTATTGTCATCTTCTATGTAAACAGAAGCATGCAAATTTCTTTCATGAGTACTTCTCAGCATCTTCTATAGCAAATGAATTACTTATTCTGTTCCCTTTTAGTCTTCCTTTTCATCTTTGTCAATAAAAGAAAAGAAAAAGTTATATTGTCCTCTCCCCAAGTCCCTTCCCTCCATTTGGGATTTCATTGGCTTAGGTTAAACTGTACACTCCATGGACAGTTGTTTGTATTGTTAGTAGTTTATTAGTAAAGCTTGTAGATACCAATCTTTCCAACTCTGGGTTTTCATATAAGAGGGTACCTACTCACAGTTGCTCTGTCAAACTTCACATTGCACTCAATACTAGTTATTTAGAAAATGAAGTACTGTACAAGTAGTCCCCAGTTTAAGAACAAATTCCAATTCCAAGAACTGTCCTTAAGTTGAATTTGTATGTAAGCCAGAACAGTATTATTTTATAATACTGTATAAGTAGTATTGTGTAATTAACTCAAACCATTGTGTATTTAACTTGAATCATTGTATATTTAACTTGAATTTTGCTACAGTAGGTTCCGTTCTTAACTATGGGTTATCCATAAACTGGGCCTTCTTAACCCAGGGACTACCTGTATCAGAAATACGCACCAATCTCAATTGTCCCAGAGCAGCCTGTGATACCTGTTACGACTATTGTCCATCCAGACCATCTTCCTGAAAATAGTGGGAATATCTTTTTGCTTTATTAGTACCAATGGCCAAATTTAAGAAACATTCTTTAGTAATCTGTCAGGAGGGGTTGGGGGGAGGAAGGAAGGAATGACTTGCACTTATTTCCAGGCCAGAATTTCATCCAAACAAGTTATGCTTTAGACCAGTGCTTTTTAAACTTTTTTCTCTTAGGACACCTTCCCACTTCTAAAAGTTATGGAGGACCCCAAAACAGCTATTGTTTGTATGAGTTATACTTATCCTTATTTTCTTCATTAAAAATTAAAATTGACACATTCACTACCGCTACCGCTTCTCATGATTGTTCGATGGGATTTAATATTATATTATTTTTCAACATAGGCTGGCAAATAATTTTGAGTTTGCAGACCCCTGAGAGTGTTTTGAGGACTCCCAGGGGTCCTAGGACCACACTTAAGAAACACCGCTTTAGAGATTCTTACTGGGCTAGCCACACCAGGCCATGAACTTCCTTTGTCTTTCGTGTCAGCACCATCAATCACCAATGGAGAGATTTTTGAAACTAACACATTAGATCTAATGCCTCCATAACTGATGATGATTATGTGCCATCAAGTTGGTGTTGTTTCTTAATTTTCTCCATGACAATCTGTCCCCAACCTGGTCCTTCAGGTCTTCTAACATTGGAAATTGAGTTCATCTACCTTGTGGTTGGTCGTCGTCTTCTCTTTCCTTCCCCTTTCCCAACATTATAAAATTCTCCAGAAAGCTAGGTCTTCATGTAATGTGTCCAAACTATGATAATTTGAACCTGGTCATTTTTGCCTCGAGTGAGAATTCTGGCTAGATTTGTTTGATGATCCATTTATTTGTTTTCCTGGCTGTCCATGGTATTCTCAGTCTTCTCCAACACCAAAGTTCAAAAGTGCCAATACTCTTCGTATCCTGCTTCTTCAAAGTCCAACTTCCAAAGAGTGTCACAGGGAATACCTTGCACAATTCTGATTCTTGTAGGTATAGATGCATCACAGCATTTGAATATCTTTCCCAAAGCCTTCATGGCTGCTCTACCAAATGCTAGTCTGCAGCATATTTCTTGAGTTGGCATCTCTACTGTACAGAATTTCGATATTGCTTGATCTTCTTGGAATCAGTTATTCTGTCCATCAATGCCTTTTAATATATCAATTTGAGGTTGGAACCTCCTTCTGAGTTCAAAGAGTTCGAAGACTCTTGTTTTTCCATGTCTGTTTCTATCTTCAGTGTCTTTACAAATAACAT